GCAAAAATAATATACGGAGTAAAGCATGGTATCAGAAAATGAGTACGAAAGATCAAAACACAATTCATATGGAATTTAGGCATACTTCAAAGACAAAAGAGATCAAATAAGATATCAACATCTCAATTATCAAATAAAGACATGATACATGTCAACAATATTTATATAAAGTCGTTGCATGAGTCAAAGTATGTATATGTATGCTCAGTATTCTTTCCCAATACCTCACAGCACAAATCTATGTGCCTGACATAGGCCATATGTCGAACAAGAACGGAAAATCTCGGGTGCCTACGCTCACAATGCACAAGATAATATGGGTAATTACATGACTCCAGAGGGATAAATCCATATCCAAGCATTGATCATCTTACCATTTATGATCAATAATCAATATCCGCTCAAAGGATTCATAGTGCAAAAACCTCAACTTTCCACACCAACCAACTCTTCACTCATGCATATGTATATGAAACAATACGATAAAGAAGCACCGGACATAACAACAGGAATACGGATAAAAGCTCATACGACTAAAAGATGATTATGGCTAGTCATGTAGTTCAATTTATTATAACGGTTCAATAAGCATTTAAGAGTACTTAAGTCTAGTCATATTATTTAAAATGAGTCAATTAATCCATAGAAACTACCAAATCATGGAGCAAATAAGGCATGTATATGACTATGGATAAATAATAAAGCTCAACACGGTAAACCAATCCTTTAGGCCCAATTCAACAAGTCATAACTTAAGCATGTTCCTAAATCATAATTATAAAGTATCACGTAGTCATAAAATCAATTTAAAATATGTATAATAGCTTCACATAATCCAAACAAGGCATAACTCAAGTCAACACTACCGGGTACGATCATAATCTAGCTACGCATATAGCTCATTTTCTCGCATATACGTGGCTCCTAAATTGAGCAACAAGTAGCAAGCAAATTATCTATGGGGAGAATTTCCTCTTACAAAGATAGACAAGAGGCTTATCTTTTCCTGGTAAGCTTAAATCAACCACCAACCACCTAACCATCAAAATCCAAGACCAAACGACTCAAATTTAGTCACATACAACTCAATAATGTCAAATAAAGCCATAGGAAACAATTTCAAACAATGAAGCTTCAATCTTTAATCAAATCCCTAAAAGTAAATAAAAGTCAACTCAAGTCCACATGGTCAAAACCTGAGTCAAGGAGGAGATCCTGAATACTCTTAACATTATGAGTCCAAATATATTATTAGATTCCAAAGCCAAGTCCAAATCGACCCCCAAATCCTCAAAATACACTCTCTTAAGTTGTGGAAAAAAAACTCCAAATTTTATTTTAAAAGATCATATTTTAGGTGTAGAAATCCATGGAAAATCAAGATAAAAAGTCAAATCCAAGTAAAAATTTCTTACCTCCAATGTAATAGTGGAATTGCTCTTCAAGTCCAAAGTTCAAAACACGAGAGAATGGGCAAAATCTCGAATTAACTCACTTAAGTGGTCTGCCTATGCATACCCTTCGCGATCACGGTCCAAAGCTTCACAATCGCGAAGCGCTAAAATTCTGCTGCCCAAATAACAATCTACATGATCGTGTCTAACCCTCCACGATCGTGAAAGCCAATCATCTACCTTTGCGAACGCGAGCCCCTCCTCGCGAATGCGTAGACCAACATTCCCCCAGCCAGGCTTCGACCCTATGCGAATGCGAACACACCTACGTGAATACGAAGTAAACCTCCCGCTTGACTCAACACCATCGCAAACACAACTCTTTGCACGCGAACACAAAGATCCTGCCCAGGCCAGTACACGAATGCGGGCTCCATGACATGAGTGCGATGAGCAAAAGTCACTTGCCAGCTTCCCTCCTCTGCGATTGCGAGTCTTGCTCTGCGATTGCGAGTCTTGCTCTGCGATCGCGAAGCATCAACCTGCATCAGAAAACCAACAACTCCTAAACAAAATGAAATGATCTGAAACCATCCCGAAACACACCCGAGCCCTGAGGACCCCGTCCAATCATACCAATAAGTCTATACATAATCCAAACTTATTCAAGGGCTCGAAACACCATAAATAACATCAAAACCAAGAATCGGCGATCAAAAACCTTCTCTTAAGTTTCAAACATTCCAACTTAGCTGAATGCGTCCGAATCACACCTAGACAATCCGGATCACAATCAAACTTTGCACACAAGTGTCAATCAAATAAATGAACCTATCCAATATCACGGAACACCAATAGGGACTCCCTAACATCAAAGTCAATTCCCGATCAAACCAGAGCTAAAACCTTCTAGGAACTTTCGAATCCAAATCTGAATATAGGCCCAAGTCCAAAATCACTATACGAACCTATTGGGACTATCAAATCATCAATCCGAGGCCGTCTACTCTAAAGTCAAACTTTGGTCAACTCTTACAACTTAAGCTTCTAAAAAATAGATCTAAGGGTTCCAATCACTCTCAAACCTTCCCGAAATCAAACCAACCAACCCCGCAAGTCATAAATAACAAACGAACCCCTACCCCGAGGGAGTAGAGAGGTTGTTTCTGAAAGACTCTCGGTTCAAGAAGATGAAAAGAGATAATATATCAGTACCATATATCAGTACCATCAATAAAAACCATAGAAATAATAACAGAATCATAAAAACCAGAAAATAGATGAAAAGCAAAAGCAATAACCAATAACCAACACATCTACAAAGTGTCACGAAAATGTGAATGTTAAAGTTAATGCATGGTCAACACAATATTGGACAAGATAAAAAATGATAGAGAGTGTAAGTAGCGCATGAAGAGGATAAAATGAGAGGTTTGACTGTGTCATGATTACCTCCAAATATGATAGTCTATAGGTGCAACACTATCATAAGATGTAAATGTAGACGAGGCAAACCTAAATACACATGAACGAAAATTGTCACAAAGGACCTATAGTCTCTCAGAATGACTGCAGACTTCGCGCTAAGAACTCAACATGATATAAATAAAGGATAAATATTGTTGTTAACTTACGTCACGTGTTTGCCAGGATTCTTTTCGGTCTAGTCAAAGACTTGTGCGTCAATGCAAGAATAATTGGGAGATTTAGAGAACCGCTATTTTATCTTAAGAAATGATTTATTTATTTTTGCCATGAAATGGGATAAAAAAAGAGCGAATGAATATAGAGAATCCATACGGTTGACTTAGCTAGTCTGGAATTAATATGTTGTTGATTGATGATTTAGAATAGTGGTTCTTGGACAAACAACCATCAGAGTAATAAAGAACCATCAGAGTAATAAAGAACCATCAGACTAACAAACAACCCTTTGTCATCCGGTAAGAATAGTTAATAGAACAATCAATAACTATTCTGCCTATTGCTCATTTGTCTAGGAAGTAGGAAAGGTGTGAAAATGACACACAATGTCATCCAATGGGCAACAACGAGATGGTTTATTATTCGTCTGGTAAGTAAAAAAGGTGTGAAAATGGAAATAGATGCTCAGCTACCATGTCGGCTAGTCTTTCTTACTGGAAGCAGATTGAACTATTGTGTTGTAACCACACAAACTAGTAATTCAGGTAGTGAGAGCATCTTTTGGCACATAACTGCACCAAGACTAAGCAAATCAAATTGAGATGTCAAACAGGACTTACTCGCTGCTTCAATATTTTGGCACCAATCAAGGGCAGTAGGAGTGTTTCAGAAGATTGAATGCTAGCCTTAACCCGTCCAAGCAACCTATCCAAATCTGGAAGCTTGCGAAGATATTGAGCAGCTGATAATGTAGCCTCTGAATTTTCAACAAGTCTGTCAACCACATCGAGCCTATGGTTGATTTTCTCCACATCTTTGAGGGGATGACAAACCCAGTTTCTCAAAAGTGGCTTCCCAGGTTAAGTAACACAATTGTCAAGATACTTGTATAAAGTACCTGAAAACAATAAATAATCACTCACAGTTAGAATAGAAGAAAATATAATTGCCACAATTGCCCCTTAGAATGAGTACAAAGCTTGATTTGACAAAAATATTGTACTTGCATGATGGACTCCCATCGGCATTATTGTTGAAGATCTCAAGATTGACAAGTGTTTGTCCATCCATTTTGAGGCAACCCCTATAGACTTCGTATGATAGAATATCGCCATTACGTAAGACCTCATCTAACTGTTAATGACAGAATGAAACAACCACCAAAATAATACCTTCAAATATTACACACAGAAAATAGGTCACGATTCCGAGACTTACCATCAATCGCTCTAAATGATTGGCAAGACTCCCAAGAGCACATAACGCAACATCATGGCTCGTTACTCCATCAAAGGTGTGATCCCACCTATTACAAGATCCTTTAAAGTAACCTTTCAAGTCAAGGAAATTTTTCACTTCTGCAGGATCAACAAAATCAGCACCTGGCTGGACTGGGGACATGAGTGGTGCTGCAGGACCTAAATGGACAAAGGATACTCATCAAGAGATCTAAGAAAGTGACAGCTCCACCTATTTCTATTTCAACCATCCAATTTTGGTTCTATGCGTAACATCTTCATATATCATTCAATTCTCCTGGAGGCTGGAAGAACAAATGTAGTATCTGAATAGTTCACATTTATGAATCACAATCCCGTCTAATCTCACTACAACTTCCCTCTTCTTGTGCCGACTAAACTTGCGGCGCATATATTCAGTCTTACTTCTACTTATCCTAAAACCCCTACTCACTAGTTTACTTCTCTATAGTTCAAGCTTTCGGTTGACACCCTTGATGGTTTGGTCATTTAGTACAATATCATTAGCGAATAGTATACCATGGGATCTCATCTTGTATTGTGTTGGTTAGCTAATCAACAATTAGGTTAAACAAGTAGAGGGTCAATGCTGATCCCGAGTGTAAACCCACAGTTATGGAAAAAATCCTTTGTATCTCCTACTAGTGACTGCCCCTTTATGCATGTCCTTTGTGACATTTATATTTTTAATATGAAACAAATAAAAAACATGGGCCCATTATAAAACATGCTTTAATCAGATGGAAATGGATGAACATTCAAGATTAGTGCACATTGAGAACCATAAGATAGACTAGCTGCAACTTGCTTGTGCCAATGATGCTATCCAAGAAGCATGTACATCCTAAGATAGATGACTTGCTGAAGACATGGATTTGTGATCATGACAGTGGTGTAGTTTTAACTTTTAACTATTAACTATGACAGCGGAGGCTTGGAATAATACTGCATGCACTATAGAAACCTTATCATAACAGTACCAAATTGGGCCTTCTTTTTTTTTTTTTATAAGGACCACTTAGCAACTTTTCTTTTAGTTGAACACTACCAGAGCGTGAGGAAAAGGCGCAGGTCTAACGTTATTCCTCTCTATGAATTCTAGAAAAGAGGATAACATGTCCCACAATGGTATCACTCGGCAAAACTTGACAAAAGTGGACAGTCTCTCAAAAAACAAACTAAGAAAGTTATCCATTCTCAATTTCTCTCCACCAGGTCATATCTCATAGGCAATACAAGACCTTAGTTGCTCACTGCTAACTAATCTCATTCCAACTGCAGAATAAACAATACTGCGGGTCCCACTAATGACCACTTAAGAATTATAATCTTTTCAAAGCTCATCTTCTTTAGGGAATTTGTCGCAACTTACTATAAATAATGGCCAAATAAAGACCACCATACATGACTTTCAGGCCAAAAGTTAAACACACTGAACTGCCCGAACAAAGAAACAGCTTCGTGACATGATAGGCAGGACATAATGCCTTGGATAATCAGGAGAGAATTATCACAACCACAGCCATTTCATGATACAGTAAGTAACTTAGCAACTATTTAAGAAACACGCAAATATCACCTGTTAATGAGTATTTTTTCAGAGCTTTTTGAGCATCCTTTGACAAACCTATTAAAAATAGAAGTGCGAGACGAGGAAGTCAGACTCAACATAGTTATTTCCAAAGAACAAAAATAATCCTCCCAAAGTCTAATTTAAAAAAAGCTTTACCCCTAGCATCGTATATAACTTCCTTCGGTGACACCTACAGATGCAACAGAGAGCAACATAAAATAATCAAGCAAACGAATCGCACATTTGTTAAGTTACTCAAAGAAAGATACTAGATCTTCTATTAAGTTACTCAAAGAAAGATATTAGATCTTAAAGTGTCGTACTTGCATCAGCAAAGCCCCCAAAGCTGCACAAGATGCATCATCGCTTATGGAACCAACCCAAACTTTCAGAGCAGCACAATCGACAAAAGCAAAGCCAAAAGTGGTTGAACCATTCTCTAGCTCATTGCAAGTCTATATGTAACAGTGCAAGAAGCCAATAAATCCTCTGCCTCAGTTTGAAGTCTCATTTTGTAGCACAAGGATGACCATAAGGACATTAAAAGATTTTAAAGCTTTTTCTTAAAAATTTGGGGAGAGAACAGAAGCAGCATAATATTGCATGAAGCATTATTCTGCACATATAATAGATAACTCTACTGGCATGTAGAATTAACAGAACTGTATCATGCCAATGGCCTCAATTTATATAAAAAGTTGCAAACCTCCTTAACTGCAAGAAGATGAACTGCATCAGGCCCAATATTACCCTCACTTGTGGTAGAAGGAGTGAATACATGAACTAGTTTTCTGCGAATAACCTGAAACCAATATTCCCATCATCAAATCACTCAATGCCATGATGAACAAAGAGTTGATAGCGCTCATTTGAGAGACGCAGAAGAAATTTATGAGTGCCCAACAAAAATGTGATGACCCAAAAGGTCATCTTATGTCTTAGAACTCGAATCTGAGCTCCTAAGCCTTACAAATCTCATTTTATCCTCCTCGATTTGCATACGCAGTCCGGGCAGGTTTCCGGAAAGCTTTTATGTTGAAAACTAATGAAAATAAGAATTTTTGCCTTAAAAGTTGATTTTTGTTGACTTCGGTCAATATTTTTGGTAAACGGGCCCAGATCCGTGCTTTGACGGTCCCGGTAGGTTCGTATCGAATTATGGGACCTGGGCGTATGCCCAGAATTGAATTCGGAGGTCCCTAACTTGAGTTATAAATTTTTGATGAAAATTAAAAGTCTGAAAATTATTTGTTTTTAAGAATTGATTGATATTTGGCATTGTTAGTATCGGGTCCGTATTTTGGTTCC